GTGTGTGTGTGTGTGTGTGTGTGTGTGTGTGTGAAAGCGCTCGGTCGCAGAGCCCTGTGGCGCGCCACGCCTCCGGCTGTTGTGCCGCCACTGCGAGCCGCATTTCGGTCAACCCGGCCGCTTGAGCCGCAGCCCCCCCCCTTGCGCGTCTGCCTCATTGAACCTGGCCGCCTGCCGGGCCATCGCGTCTCCGGGTTCCAACCGCGGCCCTCTCGCTCGTTGAACCCTCCTGCCGGTGCCCCCTCTGATCCGCTGCAACCCCTCTGCCACCCACCCCTCACACACGCACAGCGCGGCGCAGCAAAGCGCCCCGACTCCCCACGCCCCACCTCCCCCGTACGTCTCGCCCGTGTGAGCGGCCCAGACACGCCGAATCCCCTTGCTCCCTCCGCAGATGCACTCACGCGACCTCACACGCGTCCACACACGCGCGACCCTGGACGCGACAGCCAACCCCCCAGTCCCCCCAGCCGCCCCGGCCCACCCACCTTGTAGGCCTTGCCCCTGTAGGCCCAGGCCTCCCTGACCGGCGGCCAGTCCTCCTTGGCCTGGCTCAGGTCGTCCCAGCTCATCTCATCCACCCCCACCTCAAACAGCTGCGGACGGACGGAGATAGACATGTGATATGTAGGAAGGCGCGTTGGCGAGGGGGGTGCTGCGAGCGAGCGCACACGTGCCCACGCCAAAAGCTGCCCCAAGCAAGCACACCGCGATCTGGCGGGCTCCGGACGTCCGCCGCCCGGTGCTCATCCAACCGCCCGCCTTCCCGTCCGATTCGGCCGGCACAGCCCCCTCCCAGTTGTCATACATGCACACCCCCAAAACGGTCTGCCTTGGAGCCGCCGCCCCTCACGCCCCCCCACCTGCTCGATGAAGGGGTCGATCCCGTCCTGCAGCAGCCCAGCCACGCGGAACTTGTTCACATACACCACGGCAGTGTGGGCTGGAGGAGGAATGAAGGGGAGGAAGGAGGGAAGGGAGAGAGGGGGGGGGGAGTTGAGTGCGCGCGAAAAAATTTGTGCTGCAGCGTCTCCCAGCCCGCTGCGGCCAGGACGAACCCCTTGACCCCGCCCCTAACAGCTAACTCCAGAATGTCGGACGTCGGCCACATTTGGTCAACACGGCGCGCGCCCTGAAAACCACACCCGCATCTCGACCGCTGCAGCGCAAACTGCATGCACCACAAGGGCTTTCTCCATCGCTCAGAGCAATGCGGTCAAACCCCGGTCAAACACGCGGCGCGCACCGTAGTAGAACATCATGGGGTGGCGCAGCTGGTGGTAGGGCTGCCGCACAAAGGCGTCGCCGCCCTGAAGGCAGCTGAACAGCACCTCTGTCAGCGCCCAGCAGTTGTCAAAGTAGTCCAGCACCTGCTGCCTGCTGCTGGTCGCCGTGCTCGGCTGCGGCAGCGCCCTGGGGGGCGCGGAGCAGTCCAAGCCAAGGCGGCGGGGGGAGGTGGGTGCGGAGGGGGACGAGCCAGGGGGGGGGCCAGGGTGCTGCCGCTGTGAGAGGCGCTGGAAGCTGCAGGCGCTGTTTGGTGGACGGCGCCGACCGTGGTGGCCACCGCCTTGCAGAGAAAAAGCAGATCTCCCAGCCATACTGAGGCAGCAGAACGCGCACGCCAGCGCCGCCGTGGATCCCGTGCCCCCACCGATGCGGCCGCGCCGCCTGCACCCCCTTGCTTGGGCCCGGGGCCCCCCGCCGCGCCCTGCGCCTCGGGCGGCGCGCCCACCTGAGCACGCCGGCCTTCTCGTCGTATCCCGGGCACTGCCACGGCTTGCGGCCCGTCCACCACCACTCCCCGCGGGGTCCCCTTAGCTCGGCATCGCCGGAGTCCGCGGCCGCGACCGCCGCGGCCGCGGCGAGCTTCAGCGCGGCGATGTTGTTGAGGTTTGGGTTGCGGGTGGCCATGGTGACTAAAGCAGGAGGCGGCAGCCCTGGCTGTTCTAGCCGGCAGCGGATGTCACTGGAAGCTGGTCCCTGGGGGTGGTGAGGCACTATGCAGGCAAATAGGGGATCGGGGGTTGTGAGGGCGGGGTGAGGAAATCCATAAAAAAGGGGGACTGCGGGGCTGCAGCCCCATGGGGGGCTGGATGCCTGTGCCTGTCGTAAGGATGACGAAACCGCCGCAAATTGCGTGGCGGGCTGCTGCAGGCGTGCAGGTCGGGTGGGCGGCGCGGGTATTTGCGTCGACATTGGCGTATTCTCGTTGCGAGCGCGCCGGCAATGCCCCACTAATTCCATCGCATGCTGCGCGGGCAGTCGCGTTGGCCGCTTTGTGTGCTGCAGTCGCAGTGTGCAGCACGCGCATTGCCCTCGCCATGCCTGCCTCAATGGGTGAGCTGGCGCGTATAAACACACATAAATTATTCTGTGCACCTGGATGTAGCAAGGATCATTCAGCGACAACAAATTGCTGCGTGCTGAGCCGGACCACGCACGCACACCAGGCTGGACGGCGCAATGAGCACCTTATCAAGCTGCTGAGTGCTATATCGTATCAAAATTTTACACAGCATACCTGAGTGGATACTGCTCTAAACAGGACTCGCTTTCCTTCGCCAGCCCAGTGTCCAACACCACCGTGTGTAGTCCCTGAACCTATAAGGCGGGCTCGGACGATCAAAAGACGATATCAGACTAGAAAATGAATGTGATGCCACGCAATGTGCAATTGTCTCATGGTCAGAAGTGTCCGCAGCCCGCCGGCTCCTGGATGCCTTTGTGGCTCAAATGCACACCTCAGGCGCCGCACAAAGCCTGGGCCCGTGAGCCACATGCACTGTGGTTTGCAAAGCTACCACACCAATTGAATCTCATGGTCGAACCTATAACGCCACAGCTGTGCAGCTGCAAGCCGCCGAAGGGGCACGGGGTGCGCGGGCGGACTGTGGCGCTTGCTCGGTCAAAGTTGGTCAACGCTTAGCGACGGTGTGGTGGGCGGACGGACGCCAGACGAGACGAGACCGCTGTATGTTCAAACGCGCCCCCGCAGCTGCCAGGCGTCGGGCCCGGTGCGCTGCAAACATCGAACATCCAGGCCTCAGATGTACCATGCTGCATCACACCCAATTCACAAAGTGGTACGTATGTGAGGGTCAAAACCATGTACATTATTTGGGCGGAACGCAGCAAGAGGTGGGAGTGACGGGCAAAAACAACCCGGAGGCCCTCGCTGCACCAGTGTGCGCACACTGCCGGCGTCTGCCGCATGCGCAGGCTGATAGAGAGGATGGCCGCGTGGTTGCTTGCGCGCTCAAAAGGCTTCAACTCTTAATCTCGCAAAATAATTCCACGTACATTTTGGCTGACAAACATCAACATGTCGACCAAGTGAGGCGCAGTGCCTGGCAAGAAAATGTTGCTGTTCTGCCACGACTACAGCACAAAAAGTACTCGAGCCCGCAACGCCTGGGGGTTTGTGCAGGACGAGCACCTCACACGGCCCCTCCCCCCTCACGCTGGCGCTGCCGCCGAGCCGCCGTCCCCCGCGCCGCCGCCGGCCTGGCCTGCCGCCCCTGCCGGCGCCGCAGGGGGTATGAACGCCTGCCCGACCTCGGCCTCGAGCGGCACGACGCCGACGTACTCCCAGCCGCCATCCGAGCGCCGCGACAGGCCGCGGTCGTCGGCGCTCCACTGCTTGAACATATGCCGGTAGGACAGCGGCAGGGGGATGCTGTGCGGCGGCGGGGTCGCCAGCCACAGGCGCAGCAGGTGCCGCTTCGCGCGGTCCGGGCCCTGCGCAGTCATACAGTATTGGAAACTTAGTGTCTAGACGTCCAAGGCTTGCAAAATAAAGTGGGCTTATGATAAACAAGCCACGAAACAACGTGGATGCCAATTGATGTGTGGCTGCAGCAGGGCTTGAACTAAAGCAAACGGGCAGTCGCACGTGAGCCAGGGGACGATCCACCCGAGCAGCCACAGGAATCCGTCTAGCACCGCCCGATGCCGTCACCCGCCGCACCTCCCAGTCGCGGTACGCCGTGCGCATGTGCACCGTGGTGTGGTTGTTGATGTACTGCACGTCACCGGGTGACAGCCGCATGTGGATGGCCACCCCAGGGCGCTCGGCAACCTCACGGAACTTACTAATCGCCCGCTCCTGCTGCGGCGACAGCACTGCGACGCCGCCCCACTTGGCTGCCGCCAGCTGTGTGTGTGCGTGTGTGTGTTTGTTCTTGTTTTAGGGGGTTCAGTTGGGCTGGTTGCAGGGCGTCGGAACGCAGATTGTTTGCATTCGGGCAGCGAGCACCACACGGGCAGCGGGGCCGGCGGCGGCAGCTCTGTCAGGCTTTGGGCACACCAGGCAGGCAGGCGGCAACCCAACAGCGTGGCTGGATGGCATGACAATTATGTAGCGTGCCAATTACCGCTGCAATCCGACTGTGCTACTTTCAATCACATTGTGTGTGTTTGTGCAACGCCGAATCGTCTCACCTGGTAGTATGAGTCATGGAGAGCCACTAGGACGCGGCCCTGAGGGGGGCCAGGGGGGGCCCGCAGGGCGTTGAGGGTTAGAAAAGGGGATGAATGGATTGAGCCTGGGCGTGTGGATGTGCACGCAGCCGCGCGCCAGGCCGAGAAGAAGACTCGGATGCAGGGCGGCGCGCGGGCGTGACGGGGCCCTTGGCACGGCTGGCGCTGCGGCTGCCGGGCGAGTGGCAGGTGCGCTGGATGGGTCGGCAATTGGCTAGCTTGCATGAGCGTGCTGCAAACGGGGGGTCCACAGGTGCGCCGGCGCAGCCTAGGCACAACTGCGCGTATGCGTGTGTGTGCGCGTGTGAGTGTTCAGGGGCCCACCTTGTGGTAGTGCAGTATGGGCTGGTCAAATACAGGCTGCTGGCCAGGCAGCAGCTCCCCCTTACGGTCAACGTACCTGCAAGCATCGGGGCGTTCGTGGTTTGAGGCCGCGTCAGACATCAACTCCAGTTTGTGGTACCACAGTGTGGGCCCGGCCAACGCGACAGGCCCTGAGGCACGTGCATGGTGTGGCGGTGATTCGCGGGCGCGCGACGAGCGGCGCGGTCTGAGGACGACGGGCGCACGCCGGGGGCTCGCCGGGCCGGGCGGGCTGGCGGCGTGCCGTGTGTGTTCACCAGGGGCCGGCGAGGACCGGCAGCAGCTCGGGCTCCTCCTGCCGGATGATGTTAATGATGGCCGAGCTGCTGGCAAAGGCGCTGTCGCCGCCCTCCTGCGCGCGGGGTGGAAGGGGGGGGGGGCATTTGCGCGTACATGGTGCATGCGTGGATGCAAATGTGTGTGTGTGTGTGTGTGTGTGTGTATACGTGTGCGTGCGAGTTTATGTTTGCATATGCGAGGGGGGGCGTTGTAGGAAGCCGAGCCAAACAGCAACTGTGAGAGATGTGGTTTTACATCATAATTGAGGCACCTCGAAGTCGTTCCCCAGCGCACTTGAAGGCCTCCCTCAGCCCCCCGCTCCGCCCCCACCCCCTGCAGCGCCGCCCACCTTGGCCTCCGCCAGGCACAGCAGCCCCACGGTGTCCGCAGAGTCCACGTGCCACGGCTGGGCGGCGCGCGTCATGTAGATGCGCGTGTTGGGGTTCTCATTGTCGGGGTCGACGCCCACGTCCTGTCGGGGGCGCCGGGACGGTGGTCGGTGTGTGTGTGTATGTGTGTGTGTGTGTGTGTGTGTGTCTCTGGGGGAGAGGTGTCTGGTGAGTGGTGTCTGGTGAGTGGTGTCTGGGGGGTGTCGCAGTCAGTCGACCAGAAATGTGCAGGCGTGGCACCTGAATCGTTTGCAAAGCTCGCAGGTGCAAGGCTTCAAGGGGGGGGGGAGGGAAGGCGGCCAGCGGCGAGGGTCCGGGACAAGGGCGGGCGCCGGGCGAGGCGCCTCGGGTTTGTTGAGGCGAGCGGGCGCGCCACATTTGGTGGGGGGGCCGCTGTGCGCCGCCGCACCGCACCTTGACGTGCCCTATGACGTGCTGCTTCTCGTTCTGAGTCATGGGCACGCCCCTGCGGGTGTCCATCAGCAGCGGCGCGGGTGATGGATTATGGGCTTTGGGTGCGGCGACGGTCGCAGGGTGCGCAGCTGCATAAACAGAGGCGCGGGCCGCCTGCCAGGCCCCGCGCATGCACACACCGCGCGGCCCCAAGCCGCGACTCCCTATCACATGCTGGAATCGCACGCATGCCATAGCAACCGCCCATGCTTGAATGCAGGGTGGATGCACGCGCGTCAATCGTTGACGCGGTCTGATGTGCCCGCGTGAAATGGTATGCGTGAGCCCACCAGTGCAGGGCAATGCCCCAATATGCCACCAGCACCTCTTCCCGGCTCCACCGCTCCACGGGCAGCTTCCTCACGAGCACGAATCCGCGGCCCCGCGCCACATCAGCGCCCACCGCGCGAAGCAGCGGCCCAAGCGTGGGCAGTTGGAAGTCTGACTCAGAGAGTGACGTCACCTGGAGGGATGCGGCACGTTTTGGGGGTCAAGGGTGGGGCCGAAACATGGGTCACGAAAGTCAGCGCTGGCGCTAGGATGCTCGGCGTCAGGATGTGTGTGCAGTTTGGGCAGCCGCGGCGAGCCCGCGACCGCCATCCGCGAAGGCACCGCCGATCCCGCCGGCTGCTGCCTAACAATAAGAACCGACCGCCGTGTTCCCACTCTGGGAGCAAGAACATTCGCGCCGCCGGCCCTGTGGGCGTGCAGGACGCCCACTGTTGACGCTCCCGCGCACCCCTGAGAGGTAGTTGCCGTCTGCGCGCACGCGGCCCGCCGCAAGGACGCGCCGCACGGCCGCCTCGAGCTCGGAGATGTGGGTGGGGTTGAGTTCGACAGTATAGGCCGAGGGGTCAGGGAAGTCGGAGGCGAGCCAGGCATCAGGGCCGCTCACGGGGCCGTACGGCGGGACGCTGCCCTGAGGTGCCGGCGCGAGGCGCTGAACGGGGGGAGACGCGCGCAGGGGGTGGGGTGGAGGGGTTGAGCAGGGATGCTGTGCGCCAGCGGCGGGGCGCAGGGGAGGCGCGGGGAGCTGTCGCATGGTTTCACTGTCAGCTGCATAGTTTGTAGGGCCCCACCTGGGAATGGGTTTGGTGGGCTGGCGCACATGGCATGACGTGGCTGGGAGAGGCGCAAACAGGCGAGTCTTCCCGCATCTGTGGCCGGCAGGCAGCCCGCTGCATGCAGACCTAAGATTGGTATACTTGCGTCGCACAATTGACGCATACCTGCACCGCTTCGGCATCGAACGGCGGCGCCACGGTTGGCGGCAGCGGCAGGGGCGCCGCCGCATGGGCAGCTTGCGCTGTGACAGACGGCATACGCTTCCGGGTCGGTTGGGAGCGCGCTGCGCTTTATGACACGAGGATCTAATCGCACGCTATTGCTGCCAAAGCTGCATGATCAAATGGCAATGGCGTGAAGAGTCGTTCCGGTGGCTGCAACCATACCGTGATCGCTTTTGTTCAAAAATGAAGCACACCTTTTGCAGGCAAACTGGCATGTCGCATTGAGCTTACGGCTGACATGTGCCCAAAGATGGACTCGTTTGAAAACAAGGCACTTGTCACCCGCTGGGTGCCGATTCTGATCGTACAAAAAAGTCTCAGTGTACAACACGGACAGCGTGTGCAACTCATCAATGACATATGCAGAGAAGGAAGGGTTCCGCTGGTCCTAACTGAGCTGGGTTGGACAATGCGAGGAGCTTTGCAGAACTGGCAGTGAAGCACGCCAAGAGGGCACATGATGGCCCGTACAGGCCTGCGCGTCGGATCGTGATAACTGCAAGTGGTCAAGTGCACGAAGATGCCGATCCTGCAACACGCAGCTTGCAAGGCCATTGGCTGTTCCCACTCCTGACTCACAAGTCCATCGTTGTTCCCAATTGAAGCGTGGCGCCACGAGTGCAAGGGCTTCAAAAACAAACAGGTGACACGTACCCTGTTCCAAGTATTAAGCAACGATGCCGCAGGGCCACCATTGGCAATGAGGGCTCTGCTGATGTCGGGTGCCGATTTCGTGGTTGACTGCGTTGACTCCTGGTGAGAATGGGCGGACATATCAACATATTGCCGTGATGATTTATCATCATTAAACACCAGTACCTGAAGGCGCTTTCTACAGGTGCAGTGTCCACACAGCTCCGGGCTGCTTGGATTGCGCCTGGAGCGTCACTCATGCCCTGCTCATGCCACATGGGAAACAGCTTTTACCTATGCGGGTGAGCAGGCTTATCAAATTCAACATTTGCTGTAATGCAACGCGGATGCTCACAATAGAGAAAGGACAGGACTGACGAGCTGTGATCTCATCACCGACCAAACGATCAATACAGGAGGCGTAGCAGCGCGGCATGTTGCGACAAAGAGGATTTGCGACTGCGAAACACGCGCGACGCCTCCTACATCGGGCGCCTGCACCGACGCGCACAGCACACCGCTCGCCGCTCCGACGCTTTAGTGCAATGGCCAGCGCCGCGGGCGGCGGGGAGAACCCCAAGCATACCAACCGCCTGGCCAAGGAGCAGAGGTGCGCAGGAGGGGCGCAGCGGGCGTGCATTTGAGAAGATCAGGATTGAATCGACGGTCGCCCTCTCACCCCTTGTTTCGTGTGATGTCGCCATCCGAACTTGGCCCCGCGCTGGGCTTGTTGGTGCGGCAAGCGCACCTCCCATGCAGGCCCCACGGATAAGCAGCCGTGATGATGCACCCCCTGCAGCCTGCATGCACTACCCCTTCCCAAGCCCACCATGGTTGCCGTCGAGTGTCATGCTCACCCCCCCCCCCCACCCCACTTCCATACCCTCGCTGCCTATTGTTATCCTTGCGCATGGCCGCCTGCCAGCCCCTACCTGCTACAGCACGCCCACAACCCGTGAGCGCCCGGGTCATCCAGAGTTCTCTCCTTCGGGCCCCCAGACCCAGTGGCCCGCCTCTGGGTGGGGGACGAGTGGCGTGGAGCACAGCCAGATCGGCCGCCCATCACCACCTGCCTGCTCACCAAGCGCCACTTCAAAGGCTCGTCAGTGATCAGCGCGGCCCTCCTGGGCCCACCCGCCGCCCTCCTGCAACGGCCGCATCAAACCTCTCCCCACCCATTCACGTAACATCACCCCGCAAACCGCAAACTCCGTGCGCGCGCCAGGGTGGACTGGTACCCCTGGGGGCAGGAGGCGTTCGAGGAGGCGCGGGCGCGTGACAAGCCGATATTCCTGTCTGTGGGGTACAGCACCTGCCACTGGTGGGCGGCGTGGGGGCAGCCTTGTTGGCGGGGCAGGACGTTCGGAGCGCTGTGGGGCCTTGATGCGTGCTGCTTGGACGTGATTGCGATGTTGCGCAGGGCGGAGTCCTGGGATCTGTTTGCTTTAGGGGCTTTGAGAACAGACGGTCCCGGGACTGGTGACCCCAGCAAGCCCGATGTGACCCCCTCCCTGGTGACCGCGTCCCGAGCCTCCGATTGTCGGTTGGGTGGCTGGCGTTGCTCCCAACATGCTTCCGAGCTGGGGCCGCCGCCACCCAGAATTATTCAAGCCGTCGGTATCGCCCATCGATAATGCTGCCTTTCGCGTCATTTCTTGCACAACAAACCGACCGACAACCAAACAACCAAAGCACCTCATTATTCACTCCACTCTGACGTTACAGGTGCCACGTTATGGAGCGCGAGAGCTTTGAGGATGAAGAGGCGGCGCGGCTGCTGAACGAACACTTTGTGTCCATCAAGGTCGACAGGGAGGAGCGGCCCGACGTTGACCGCGTGTACGTGAGCGACCTGGGAGTTTTGAATTCGAATTTGTGATCTTCTCCTGGGTCGTGTCATATGGTGCGACGCACGACAGCAGAGTCAGCGTGCAGATCCACGGTCAGCACCCCGAGGAGCCGGCACCGAAGGGCCACCACCAACCCAAAACAACCTCAGACACAGCGACCCTGCGTCCTGAGCCCCCAAGCCACCAACCCTCCAACGCTCAACCCCTCAAACCCACCAACCTCTGACCCCCAACCCCCTGGACACCCCCCCCCCCAGATGACGTACGTCCAGGCGCTGACAGGGGGCGGCGGCTGGCCCATGAGTGTGTTCCTGACGCCCCAGCTGCAGCCCATCATGGGCACCACCTACCTGCCACCAAAGGCGCGCGACGACGGAGGGTGCAGCAGGGGCTGATACGGGTGCTCAGCCCATGCATTAGGCCGGGAGTCAGGGTGGACGCACCGTCGAAAGCGCGCGTGTGTTGACGGCAGGGTGGGATCGAGAGAGCGGGTTGCAGCTGATACGGTTGTTGCGATCATATTGGGGAGCATGTCAGCAGAGGAAGTGGGTGGGGGAAAGGGACGAGCAAGGGTGTGGCATTCAGGCTGTGCAGCCTGGGGGAACGCCCTGTTGCCTTGCATGCGCTGCGGCGCAGCCCCTCATATCAGGTGACCGGCCTCCGCTTGGCGCCATACGATGCAACAATCCCTCTCACCCAGCTCGGGCCCAGCCCCCACATTCGAGGCCCGCAACGCCACCACCTCCGCCATAACCGCACCCCCAATGCGCCTCTACTTGATCCCTCCGAACCGCCCCCTCCCCCCCTTTCCCCCAGGACCTGCCTGGTCGTCCCAGCTTCTCCACTGTGCTGCGGCGCATCACCAACATCTGGCAGACGCGCAGGGACGACCTGGTGCAGCAGGTCTGGCTGTGTTGGGAGGGGCGGGGCCATGGTGGCTGCCTGTTTTCCTCGCAAGGGGCGGGGCTGTGATTGCAAGCAGGCGGGCGTGCGTATGTG